CTTGAGACTTGAGAGGATTTGGATACGGACTCATGGTGGTCCTGTTTCTCCTACTCATGTAACTCATCTATAAGTTTTTGGCTTAATTCAAAAAATCATCTACTAACTTTCAGTTTAATTTCAATTTCATCTATTATCTTTGAATTGTTTCAATTCTGTCTATTATCTTTCACATTTTTTTCAATTTCATCTAGAAAGTTAAAGTTAACAGAAAATCTTAACGAAAATCTTCTTAAACCTCAGTACTCTAACTATGTTTCTTTTAATCTTTTAGTCCTTAAATTTATATTTACAGTAAAAATAGTTTTTATTTTTATTTTGCTAAATGTGTTTTTCAGAAAATTGTTTTATAGAGCAAATTGCATTTAGTCCACCTTGTAAAATTATTTAAATACCCTTAATTTTATTTTTATATTATTTTTTAATGAACATTTAAATAATTTTATAAGACAGATTATACACAATTTGTCTTATAAAACAGACTTACTTTTAAAATTTTTTATTTTAAACTTACTGAATTTCTTTGTTTGAATTACAATCTATATCTATAAACTATTTTTTGATTCATCATATTCTATTAGGATTTAAGTGTCACTTTTTTAAAACTCAAAAGACTGCTCTTTCCTCGAATATAACGTCAATCTAATGTCATCTTTGTACAGTAGATTAATTTGAAATATCTAGACTATTTAGAAATGAAACAAACTTTCTAGAATAAAATGAAATTAAATTGAAAGTTAGAAGATGATTTTTTGAATTAAGCCATAGGTTTTTTATTTGAATGATTTTTGTTGTTTCCATGAAAAGAAAGCCAATTGTTAAGTCCCTCAACTTTGAATTTTGTATGCTTTTGGTTCTCGAACTATTTTAAGCATTTTTTAAATCCCTTAACTCTAGGGCTGTAAATTAGCAAAATTGAATAATAGAATACTCAAGCTTGAGCTTGACTCCACTATAACAATTTCAAGCCAAACTCAAGTTTTGTCAAACTCAAAAAGAAAATAGAGTTTGAGTTTGACTTATTTATCAAACAAGCTAAATTTGAGCTACTCAATTTATTTATTATTTAAAATAATTAAATTAAATCAAATAATATAATTTATTAATTTTTTTAAAAAAAGAGTTGTTTGTGAGCCTGATATACAAACTCAAACTCAAATTTGATCATTTATCGAATTTGGAATTTAACTCAATCTTAATTTATTTCTCAAGTCAAGCTTAAATCAAATACTAATAAACTCAACCCATTTGCAAATCTACTTAGTTCTGAAAAATAGTTCCTTTTGTTTTTCTATGAAGTAAATATGATGTGATTGATGATAAATCACTTCAAATAACATTTCTCTTAAATTTTTTAGTAAAGTTGATTTTTTCCTGCACGGGCCCTTGAGGCCTAGTGGCATAGTCACAGTGCATTCTCCCTCCTTCGATAGGGTTCAAAACCTGCCCTTGCAAAATATGTTCAGAAGTTGATTTTTTCCTGCTAATACTTGTATTTGTACATTTTCATTAGTATCTATTTCGCGCTTTTTCTAAAACTTCTTTAACCAGCACGTACCAAAAATAATGGGATGCGGCCTACTACATCAAACTTTTTTTAAATGTTTCCAAATCCAGCAAGAATATCATCATTGCCTCCTCGCGAATCACAATCTTTTCTGTTTTTCTCGGACCGTCCATGCATGTGATGCAACCAGGCAATTAGTGATGCCTCACGTGAATTTGAACTTATGATAGTGACCTGATTTCCTCGAAATCAATCAGCCATGGAATGTAACTGTGGAACTGCAACACTATTTCCCTCAATTAAATCTTTTTTTTTTTTTTTTGGAAATAAGGGCAATTACAACTTTTTAATGTGAAAGGGGAGGGGGACTGGCTCGGGTTCGTACACGATGACATCAGCTCAAGTGAACGTCCACGAAAGGGAGGTGGTAACCACCTGTTCCAAGCGTGGAGTTCTCCCTCCACTATTCTTTGGTGAAATAGTGAATGACTTGAGTGATTTTAATAATGCATGTGGGGTGAGTTAAGGTAAAGAAATAGTAGAGGGAGTTGATTTTTATTATATAATTTAAATATTGGAAAAAAAGTTAATATAAACATGTTGATGATGTACCTCTCAAAAATAAATAAATAAATAAATAAATTATTGATAATGTAATATAAAAATATTAATGAACAAAATAAAGAAAAGTAAAAGCATATTATTGTAAAATTTTTCATTCGATTAATGTTCATTTGCCCAAGATGCAAATAGGGATTAGAAACTCTGCTTCACCTTCTGTGAGACTACTATCACTGCCGCTTGATTTGAGAGACCTCCATTGCCTTCCTACCAACTTTTTCATATTGAATTTTGAAGAATGGTTAAGGAAGAATATGCAAGCTTTAATGTCTAGTGGTGCTTCATGTCACAATTGGTCTACTCTTTTCTTATTTGCTATTTGGGTGATTTGGAAGAGTAGGAATGCACTTATCTTTGACAATAAAAGGACCCCTCCCCATATCCTGTTTCAGCAAGCTTTCTCCCTAGCAAGAGATACAAATTTGGCATTGGCAACAAACTGCCTAGCACATCCTCGTTTACCTAGATGGGTAAGACGGTTCCCACCTGATTTCCTTTTTCTCAAACTGAATACAAATGGGGCAATGAACCATTCCTCTGGAAAAGCTAGTGTGGGTGGACTCGTTCGTGATCCTGGGGGGTGATGGCTACATGGGTTTGCTAATAACATTGGGCCACAATCTAGCTACATGGCGGAGCTTTGAGGTTGTTGTGCTGGTCTTCGGTTAGCGCTTGAGCTGGGTCTTACTCACTTAGTCTTCGAAATGGATACTCTCTTGGTTGTGCAGATGATACGGGCGAGGAAAGCTGGAGATGTTCTAGCTTCTGTGCTATTGTTGGACATTTTTCAGTTGGTAAACTCCTTTGAGGTTTGTACAGTTTAGTACATTTTGTGGGAAAGCAACTCGGCAACTGATTTTATGGCTTCCATTGGTCAAAATCTCGGCAAGAACCAAGATTTAGCCCCTCACCTTAAAACATGACAGTTTTAACCTTTTATTTTACAAAATTGATAAGTTTTAGTCCTTCACCTTACAAAGTTAGTAGGTTTTAACCCATTGCTTTATATTATGATATTTTTAGCCCCTCATCGATACAAATTAAAGAAAATAACCCTCACCTAACATTAGGTTATAACGTTCTGTTAGTTTTGTTAGTTGGCTGTTAACATCCGTTAGCATTCCATTATAAAAACCATGAAATTTAAATTCAATTTTATTTGTTAGTTCCTAACGGATGTTAACAGTCAACTAATAGAATTAATAGTCAATTAATAAAACTGACAGTCAGTTAACAGAACTGACAGTCAGCTAACAGAACTAATAAACCATTATAACCTGATGTTAAATAAGGGCTACTTTCTTCAATTTGTACAGATAAAGGGCTAAAAGTATCATAATATAAGGTGAGGGGCTAAAACCTACCAACTTTGTAAGGTGAGGGGTTAAACCCTACCACATATTTGTAAGGTAAAAGGCTAAAAGTATCATATTATAACGTGAGGGGGGCTAAAACCTACTAATTTTATAAGGTGAAGGGCTAAATGTTGGTTTATGCCCAAAATCTCAATCAAGGCACTACTTTCTTTCAGACGCCACCACCAGGTATTAGGAGCATTCTTCATGGAGACAAGCATAGGAACATTATTCCTTAGGATTTAGGTTGGACTAGCTTCTTA